TGAATCATAAGAATCCCCATCTCCTTTCACTAGACCTGTCTGGACAAGATGAAAACCATTCAGTAGAGATGGAAGAACAAGGTAGATAGGGGAACATTTAGGTAGGTTTGCATGGACTAAATGGGACAAAGGTAAATAGTGAAGTATGCTCAACCTTGGAATAACAGGGCTTTGTGGTACAGGGATCAGACATAATCTGGGTAAAAGGGGAAATAATGTTAGGATGCTTGACTGTCTTATGAATATTGGTTTTCCTTTCCTACTATTGTAAAATAGACACTCAAGTGGGGTAAAAAGAAAATTTGGGAAACATGAATACTGAAAGTTTATAAGCCCATCTTTAGCCTGTAACTCACTGAAATACCTCAGAGGGGTGCTAGAACTTGCCCAGTGAAATATGCTTCTTGCAGAGCCTTGGTGTGGTATATAGGACCTTAGGTGGAATCCTGAGCCCCATCCAGAACCTTCTGAGGTGGGACGTTCCCACTTGAGAGGACAAGCAGAGCAGCTAGAGGAACAGAAGATACTTCTTGAAAGAAAGACCTCTAGGAAATACCAAATTTAAAAACAGCAGTCTGAATGGTTACTACAAGGACAAGTAAGTTGTTCTCTGGAGAGCCATCAAAGCAAGCAGTCAAATCCCTTCAGGACAACCCCCTCTCTAAGACTGAAGCGCAAAGGGATCACATGAGCAGCTCTGTAAGCTTGCTGGCAACCATGCTGGTCTACTGGTGAGTGAAAGTGGGGAAAAGGCAACAATGAAGATATGGACTGAGTCCAATCACATTCCATAGTCACCCGTTTACCAGGACATGAGAGAGAGAAGAGGAAGGGCAGTTGGTCCTAAGTATGGTGAGACCTGGGGTCTCCTGAACCCATGAACAAAGACATAGCCACAGAGTGCTAGAGCTGAGAGTGGAGCGTCCAGCTAATATGAAGTGAGGGGAGACGCATAAGAATACCCAGACTTTCAGATAGTACCCATTTTACCTAGCTTCAATGGCTTGAAGATCACAACTCCACTAAAAGAAGATTTTAAAATTTGATAAAGGAAACAAGTGTAAATTACTACAACTTGATGAACTTGACTTTACTTGTGGATGTAGAGCTCAAAATACCAACTGAAAGGGAAAAAATCTTCATCCTACCCCCCTCTGTATGCAGTGGTGATAGGGATGGGCAACTTAGACATTGGCTACATAAAATGAGGGGCTATAAAGGAACAAAGTGAGTGGCTTCCAAGTTTTTAAGAGGGAGTTTAGTTTCAGAGAGTGTGGGGGAAGATAGAATCCCTAGTGAATGGTTTTCATCTTTTCTAGACGGGTCTGGTGAAAGGAGATGGGGATAAGAGTCTTATGAATTGGCTTATGTTTTGCTGTATATATTCTCAGTAACAATAAATACAATTTAAATGAGCCTCTGGTAGCATGGTGAGTTATGTGTTGGGCTGTTAATTGCAAGATCAACAGTTTGAATCCACCAGCTGCTCTAATGGAAAAAGATGAGGCTTTCTGTTCCCTTGAAGATTTGCGGCCACAGAAACCGTATACTGGGTTGCTATGAGTCAAAAGTGACTCAGTGACACGCAGCAGCAGCAAAGGAAAAAAGGAATAAGATAATAATGCCACCTAAACCACTCCATTTGCTAAAAAAGTAGGCTTTGGATATTGTTTGGTTTTGAACAGGTCTTTTTGAAAAGCACTTATTCTCAGGGGAAATGTTTATGAGAAATTGAGTACTTACACATTACTTTTGTTAGTTATCCTCAGGATGGCTCTGACTTAACTGCAACCCTACACACAATAGAGGAGTCCTGGTGTGGCACTGTGAGTTAATACACTGGACTGCAAAGTCAGTTTGAACTGCAGGGTTGGCAGTTCAAGCTCACCAGCCACTCCTTGGAAACCTTATACAGGGTCGCTATGAGTCGGAACCGACTTAATAGCACTTAACAACAACCACAACAACGTGCACAATAAAATGAAACACTGCCTGGTCCTGTGCCATCTTCACAATTGTTACACTTAAGCACATTACTGCTGCTAGTATTCCAATCCATCTCGTTGGTAGTCTTAAGTATGAGAGACAAAAAAGGCTTGCCATCCTGATTTCCAAAGAGCATTCTGGTTGTATGTTTTCTAATATAGATTTGTTTGTTCTTCTGGCTGTCCTTGATGCTTTTCATATTATTCTCCCAATACCTTAATTAACTCAAATGCATCAATTCTTCTACAGTGTTCCTTGTTTACTGTCCAATTTTCACAGGCATATGAGGTTATAGAAAATCCCATGGCTTGGGTCAGCCACACTTTAGTCTCCAAGCTGACATCTTTGCTCTTAAATACCTTAAGGAGGTGTTGTGCAGCAGATTTTAGTAATGCAATATGTCGTTTGACTTCTTGACTGTTGCTTCCATGAGTATTGATTATGGATCCTAGAAAAATAAAGTCTTTGCAACTTCAGTCTTTTCCCCATTTATCATGTTGGGTTTTTTATTTTTGAGTGACACTGGAGTTTTATTTGAGACAGAAGAGCAACTGATGGGAGTCCCTTACAGTGTGGTCTACTTTAGGGTCCTGGTTCCTAAGATAAGACTTTATGTCCTCCCCTATCACAACTTCTTGGGAAATGAACCAAAATGAGCACAGCCAGGGAAGAAACCATGCCTTGGTAGAGAGTTGCAAAGAAAGAGAAGAGCTTATTCAAACTAGCAGCGTACTGACAGAGCCCCAAGAATGAAGAGAGTGGTGGAGGGGAACTCAGTCAGTGAAGAGGGATTCTTTCCTTTGCACAGCAAGGACCCACCCCCAGGGTAGACTTGGCAGTGATGACTCAGCAAGATCCAGGACTCCCCAATTCCTTCCCTGGATTCCCAATTCATATAACTCCTGAGCAGTCATGGCCACTGCTGCTTGTTCAGTGAAGCTGGCAGGTTTATGTCCCACTCCGAAAGGCCTGCACACTCGTGGGTGCTCAGGGTGATGTGGACCTTGTACACATTAAACCATTCAGGATGGTGGTCCAATTTCTCAGCCTGCAGGGCCATCCTTGTCATGAACTCAATTGCCATGTTGAAGTCTTTGAAATGGAATTGCTTGAAGATGGTGTTGCGGCCTTCCAGCTCATTCCACCCCACAGCCCTCAAGTTTGGCAGCAGTTGGTCCCTCTCATCAGCACTTAGCCTGTGTGCCTTGCCAGCCATGTCAGAGCACAGCGGGACCTGGAGAGCAGCAGGTGGCGGGCCGACAGGCTTGGGCCGCCCCTGGACTATCATGCCAGTATTTATTGATTCAGTTGTGAAGATTTTGTTTCCTTCACTTTGTATATCACAGGTTGATGACTCATCCTCCAATCCTGATGCCTCATTCTTTATATAATCCAGCTTCTCAGATTATTTGCTCAGCATATAGATTGAAAAAATATAACCCTTATGCATACCTTTCCTGATTTTAAACCATGCAATATTCCTTTGTTCTGTTCTAACAACTGCCTTTTGGTCTGTGTATAAGTTCCTCATGAGTACAGTCAAGGGTTCTGTAATACCCGTTCTTCACAGTGTTATCTAGAGCTTGTCATGATGCACATAAGTCTTAAACCTTTATATAGTCAATAAAGCATAGATAAACATCTTTCTGATATTCTCTGCTTTCAGCCAAGATCCACCTGAGGTCAGTGATGATACTCCTCATTCTACGCCCTTGTCTGAATCCGACTTGACTTGCCCTGTCTGTGTATTATTTCAGCCATTTTTTAATTATCTTCAGCAAAATTTTACTTACATGTGATATTGATGATATTGTTAGATGATTTCCACGTTTTCTTAGGTCACCTCTCTTTGGAATGGGCACAAATATGGATCTCTTCCAATCAGTTGACCAGGTAGCTGTCTTCCAAATTTTTTGGCATAGTTGAGTGAATTCCCCCAGTACTGCATCAGTTTGTTGATAGATTTCCATTTGTATTCCATCAATTCCTGGAGCCTCTTTCTTTGCCAATATCTTCAGTGCACTTTCAACTTCTTCCTTTAATACTATTGATTCTTTTTTTTTTAATGTTTTATTGTGAATTATGTGATAGTTTACATGGGAGAACATTGGTTTTGCATTCATTCTATCGTATATCGTCTCATTGCCATGGTTACAATCCCCACCATGCAATCCTTCCCTCGTGCCCCCCAGGTCTTCAGCACACAGTCGCTCTCCCTCTCTGGATCTAAAGTCTCCAGCTGATCCATTGCTC